ATTCACAGAGCTGCCTCAGCGAATACATCGAGAGGATCCGTCATTTTCACTAAGAGACTTCAAATCAAAGCTTTTCCCCTTCACTCCTTCTCACGCAAACACACACCTGTTTTCCTCTCTCATTTTGCAACTATAATAATTTGTTTTCCCTTTTCATGCAGTAACAGTTCCCTTATTTGCGCATAAGTTTGATATTAACCACGAGTTAACAGTACAATCAAGTGTGAGCGCGCGTATCTTAAGGCATGGATTACTATCGAGAAGACCAATCGCTAAATACCACTAAGAAAACTATATACACTGCAGACAGAACCCTTGCTAAGCGCGCTTAGCTGTAATATGGCCAGAGGATTACTAAAGGTCGTTTTTTCTCAAACACTGTTCACCAGATCAAGAGGTATGAGCTATTTGACAGCAGAAAAGACGTAACCGTGCAGGTACTCCGTCCTGTGGCGTCGTTGTTAAGCTTTTACTTCTCGTTGTAATCGATCCTGAAGTGACCTTGAACCAAAATCCAGAGCCACCGTCTGGCCAATAAAGCCAGGATATCCGGCAAACTAACCAAAAAGGCTCTTATACCGCGGTCTCTGACCTAGAACGTTTCCTACAGGACCACATTGCACGTTAGTTACTACCCAAGTTACAAAAATATTTCGCCCTATGGTTTTAATGGTTGTTCACAACTTCCTCTACGCTGAAGTTGTATATGTCATTTCCAGGAGCAACGTTTACAAGGCAGATATATGGTGACATTCACATTGCCTGTGCTCCTTTTCAACGCCAATGGCCTGTGAGTTACGCGGTGAGGACCGCGAGTTTTGCGCCGCCTCCTTCGAGAGGTGGCGTGATGCAGCGTGAAGCGCAATAGAATGGATGATGTTCGGCAGAAAGGAGACTCGCAATTAGTTTCATTTCAAGGCAGGTTTAGACGGATTCAGTAAACTTTCAGGTCTGCGTTTTTTCATGGCCTAGGCCAAAATTCATTACACACAGTGTCGGGAAACAATGGCGTCCAGATGGACAATTGCACAGTATGGTGTGGCGGTATGTGAACAACGCACTAGCTCATTTTAAAATTGGCCAACCAATCTGCTTACCTGGTAGCCCATTTGGCTTTTTATCTAGGATTATTGATGAGAACTGACAGACATCTTTGAAAAAAATCTCCCCTCTCTCTCTCTTTACACACACTATATATATATATATATTTATATATATATATACAAACTAAGTATACATACTCTCAGATGGAGGTGAAAATGCTGATTAGGGTGCATGCACGATAAAGAACCCCAGGTGGTCAAAATTTCCGGAACCCTCCAGTACGGCGTCTCTTATAATGATATGGTAGATTTGGGACGTTAAACCCCACATATCAATTAACGAATTATATTGTTACGATGACAGGTGTTCATTTGAAGATAGGCTGATGGAAGGGGGGTGAATGGCTGCCACCCGGCACTGATCCACTCGCAAGACAAGCGCTCCTTGTCCTCCTCTTCTCTTCGTCCTCTCTGTCGCGTTAGCGTAGCTATGTATACTCACGGATATTAGAAAGAACGCAAACAAACGCATGCTTGTCATCCACCAACTAGCCCAAGAGCATAAATTATTTTAGCTTATATCAACTTTTGATTACGGGAGAGCCAGCCATTTTTTATTCTGCCATGTACTTGCTTATATTGTGCGACAATATATTCCTTGAGCAAACAATTATATCCCCAACCCATTGTTCAGTTAGTGAGTACCTAAGCTTTCATAATCGGTGCAGTGGTAAAAGGCCACGCGCCTCAGCTGTACATAAGCTGCACTTGAAGAAATTCATGTGCTATACTGATTTTCTACACCACCTAACCCACTGTGCAGTATCGCTTTTGTATCGAGACGTTCACCTAATCATTGCCTTTTTTTACGCTTATTTAAGCTGGTGATTGAGTGCAAGAGAGCCCGCAAAACGACCAATCACCACTGCCGACAGTCGTTACGGAAGCGTTATGATGCCTTCAGTTCAAGAACAAGGTGGGATTTACTAGCATTTAATAGATACATTTCAATAGCTTGAAAAAGAATAAGATGTCTGCTTCGTGCTGAAATAATGTTTGGTCATCACATATATCTGGTCATCACATTTAGCCTGAACGCGCGAGTCGAGGCTAAAATGCAACAAACACTTAAGATTTCGAAATTTATACTCTTAGATAAACCATTTTTGCTGCTCTATACGCCGCAAAAGATCCGTATTATTCTGCGTTTGCAAGTCGTATCCACGTCTTGATGTGACAGCCGATTGAAACAATTGCTACTTCTCTATGCTCTTGAGTAGCTGCCGAAAGCGCACCTTTAAAAAACATATCACGTAGCCCCCCCCCACCCCTAAATAACCATCGCAGCACCCCTACAAATTATTCTACGTGACACATATACGTTACAATAGGTGACCTTAATTCGCAGTGAAAATAAATGTTTCAGACAACGAGTGCTCCTTTGAGCTATCGGAAACCCCACGATTTAAGACTCGTTTTGAAGCCGTCCCTAGTTTTTATACTGTGTGGCTGACCGGGAACGTTTACAACTTCAAAAAATATGAAATAAAGCATTTTAGATGTTTGTTAGTGTCAGAGTTACCTATATTTTGTCTGAGGTGTTTTGAATATCATTATACGCAATCCGGTAGTGAAAACGTTATGGGCGCACAAAAAATAAAGTGGGGGCACAAAACGCTGCAGGTCTGTGAAAAACTATGGTATGCACATTTTGCAGCAATCACAGTGTCCCCTTTAGAAACTCCACAGCACCTCAAGCAAATTAACACTACCACCATGGATGCAACCGTGTTGCAATGACTGTGTATCAAGAGACCACGCTCGACGCACACAAGTAGCAGTTCCGTTTGGGGTAGTGATATGATCATTTTAATGTAACGCTACGCCACCTCGTGTCATATACAGTGGCACATTTAACCTGCCCGATTTTTGAAGAATGGACCCATACTAATGCACGTATAGTACTGAATATTTCACTATTTCGGCAAACCACACAGTGACGCTTAGACACTACCCAAGTTGTCTACTACTAGCAGCACGGTACCTACTCCGGTTTATCAGTTGGCACGTGTTCTACGCTCGGCAAGCACATTCCTAGTTGCCCTAAGATAGCAGGAAACCTCGGTCACCGACCATGTGCAATCGTTTATTATTAGAAATTGAACCATCATGAGCGACCTAAGTAGCTATAGAAAGCTAACTTGTCAAAAACTGTGGACCCATTACTGGCCCGCAAGTAAGTAGTATAAGAGCATCCGTCAATGGTTCTGACTGCCACAATTAGGCGAAAAAAGAGACAAAACAGCGAGTTAGGCGTCGCTTCGCCCAGCTTTCCTCAACAACATACGCGGAACGTGCATCTTTCCCCGGATGGTGTGCTTGTGTGAGGCTTGTTAAATATGGCCGGAAAGTGCCTTCAATATAACTGTCGAATAGCAAGGCGTTACTATTGAAGTACAGTAGGAAATTTTATAACTAAAATCTTCCAATGAAAACATTGATTACAAGCACCAAGATCAATCAGCCTGCAAACAGAAAAGCAGCAGAGAAGCCATGTTCGCAAACACTGGCGAAGACCGGAGCTAAACGGTTCAAAACCGTTGGAAATAAAATTATATATATATATATATATATATATATATATATATATATATATATATATAGAGAGAGAGAGAGAGAGAGAGAGAGTATCCCACACAACTTGAGGCAAGGATTTGAAAATGACTTCAGTGGCGAATTGAACCAAACGCGTACTACTCGCACTAGCTTGTAGGTACTCAGGCTATTTTTAAATTCTACCCATATTAATTAATAATTTTAATTACCTATGTTTTAATCATGGGCTGGAAACCCAAAGTACGAACACTGAGATGCAGAGCACTTTCAGAAACCACCGACAAAATTGTTTCCTGTACGATACGTCTAGTGCTGTTATTGTTTTCACGTTTTAAAGAAAGCCTAGGCCCCGCCACGGTGGTCTATATATATTATAGTGGCAAGGTACTCGGTTCCTGACCTGCAGGTCGCAAGATCGAATCGCGGCTGCAGCGGCTGCATTTCCGATGAAGGCGAAAATGTTGTAGGCCCGTGTGCTCAGATTTGGGTGCACGTTAATGAAGCCCAGTGGGTCGAAATTTCTAGAGCCCTCTACTACCGCGTCTCTCATAACCATATAGTGGTTTTGAGACGTTAATTCCACAAATCAATCAATCGATCTAGAAAGCCTATAGAAAACACTATAGCAGTGCGCTCGTGGTCCGTCACACGGCTTTGATCTTTTCACGTTTCGCGGGCTTTTTTTACACGGGGAAAAATATCAGAGCGAGACGTATCGTACAGGAAACAATTTAGTCGGTGGTTTCTGAAAGTGTTCTACATCTCAATGTTCATATTTTGAGCTTCCAACCCTTAAATAGAAAAATAGGTAATTAAGAGTTAATAATTAGTTAGTATGGGGAGAATTAAGAAACAGCCTGAGTACCTAGAAGCTAGTGCGAGTAGTACGCGTTCGGTTCAATTTACCTTCTAATGCCTTTCACTGTCAAATTCTTGGCTCAAGTTACGTGAGACGCCTTATATATTCATCCATTCTCAACGCTAAAATTTCAGACATGATCATGATATGTGGAGTTTAACGTCCCAAAACCACCATATGATTATGAGAGACGCCGCAGTGAAGGGCTCCGGAAACATCGACCACCTGGGGTTCTTTAACGTGCATCCAAATCTGAGCACACGGGCCTACTACAACATTTCCGCCTCCATCAGAAATGCAGCCGCCGCAGCCGGGATTGGACCCCGTGACCTGCGGGTCAGCAGCCTTAGCCACTAGACCACGGCGGCGGGGCCAAATTTAAGACAAACCGCGTCTCAATTTTAAGTGCTTCGACCACAATGTTGAGCCTCAGGTGACTGTCGTAAAACAAGCAGACACCAAAACAAAGCGGTCACATGTACCTCATCATACTGGTCAACATCTTGAAGGCTGGTCAGCCAACACGGTGGCTTGTCTCGACGTCTGACAGTCGGTCTCCACAATGTGACACTCGAGCCTCTCAGGAGGGACGCCGGAGACGGCCCGTGCCCCTGTGTGTGTTGTATGCTTTCCCTCGGACGGTGGCAATATTGCGAAGAGGATCGCCCAGCGGGGAAGCTCGCGCGGGTGCCAACGCGCGTCGTCACGCGAACGATAAGCGCGGCTGCAAACAGTTTCGTGCGATAAACGAGGCAAACCCCATCTGCGGCGTCCCTTGAGATCACAGCCCTTGGCTATCTGAAGCCACTCGAGCACGAAATGATGCGTCGTATGTCAGTGACACGGCCGATGTTTTGGCACGCACCCCCCGTCGCCGGCGAGAAACCTGTGCATGCGTGGTCCCAGACCACGCGTCTACGACTCGCGGGAGCTCGGGTGACGCGAATTCCTACGTGAGTTATGGGCGTGCAATGCTCCTAACTTCTTACAACATGTAGTTTTTTTTTATTCGTGTGCTTCGCAAGCAGTGCTTCCCAATGAACAAACGACAGTGTTCCCAGAAACGCAGACGCCTAACCCGGTCAACGGAATATTTTACGCACGAAAGATTTGAAAAAAATTGGTTAACCGCAACCGAACGAAACCCATGACATGTATTTAGCCTTTATGTGGCGTTCATTAGAGTATTTTTATAGCGTGCTTGATTAGTTCACTAGGTGAGATCAATTAGGCAAAAGTTTAATAGCTTTAGGATCAAGTGTATTTTGTCACGTCATAAAAGAGTCTTTCTAAACAACTAGTCTAATTATTCGTGATGTAGTCGCGATTCTTTGTGGCGTTCAAAGAAAGTCCGCTAAATATGAAATGCCCCGCCGCGGTGGTCTAGTGGCTAAGGTACTCGGCTGCTGACCCGCAGGGCGCTGGTTTGAATCCCAGCTGCGGCGGCTGCATTTCCGATGGAGGCGGAAATGTTGTAGGCCCGTGTGCTCAGATTTGGGTGCACGTTAAAGAACCCCAGGTGGTCGAAATTTCCGCAGCCCTCCACAACGGCGTCTCTCATAATCATATAGTGGTTTTGGGACGTTAAACCCCACATATCAATCAATGAACGCAATAACCTTCTATGCAACATTTTGAGCGTGGGCGCGATATTTTAAAATCTAAACATGCACCACGTCGCTCTAAAAAAAAGAAAGGCAAAGAAAAAATAAATGTGCATACAATTCTCCAGTTCATTACGACCACCTGAACAGGACAAAAGTTGCAATGCTATTCGTTGATTTCAGTCCACGAGCATGCGCTGAACATGTACTCCGCATGCTAATATTGTGTAACGCGGCGTCCGAAAACTGCGGGAAGAAAAAAAAATGGAGTATCGAATTCCGTTGCATTTTGCGTGAGATATGATAATGTCAGACCTACTTTCGTCTGATAACGTAGTAGGTGCCCTTGAAAGAGGTGAATGCGAGAATTATTCTCGCACGCTGTAGGGGCTGCAGACAGCGCTGATTCCGCTAAGTGCAGAGATAACTCTAGCAACCCTCCAGTGAGTTTTTTTTTTTGTGTGTCATTGCGCGATTATGAACTCGTACGTCTGTTTTCTGGGCAAAATTTAGGAACGGCCACTGAAGAGGACCATGCCTGTAACAGCGTCGTGTGCATGCATCAATTTGTAGTTATTTTCGGTCAGTATAAATATTTCGATAGTATGCATATAGCAGCCCGTGTTTTACACCCAAAACACTTCCGGTCACCTCAATGATCGCTCAGGAACGCCGAAGCAAAAAGCGTGTTTTTAGAAGTCTGCAAGATTACGCGCCCCGCCGCGGTGGTCTAGTGGCTAAGGTACTCGGCTACTGACCCGCAGGTCGCGGGTTAGAATCCCAGCTGCGGTGGCTGCATTTCCGATGGAGGGGGAAATTCTGTACGCCCGTGTTCTTAGATTTTGGCGCACGTTGAAGAATCCCAGGTGGTCGGAATTTCCGGAGCCCTCCACTGCGGCGTCTCTCATTATCATATGGTGGTTTTGGGACGTTATACCCCACATATCTATCTATCAAATCAGTGCCAGATTACGCTGACTCTTTTTTCTCTTTCTTAAAGCATGGTTATCTTAAAGGAATATTACTTTAAATACTCGCCCACAATTATATATGGGCGCTAAGGCTTTCGTTCCCCGACTAGGTTACCATAGTATGCTACACCGGCGCACAAAATCGGACGCCATCCAACAACTGTGTTTGCAAAGCGCGAAATGTCTATACTGGTGCACAGTTTCAGTAAAAGCATGAAGTTTTAGAGCCACCCTATTCATAGCACCATGTATTTCAAGCGCCCTATACAAACATTACATCATTATACGCTGGATCACTGGCTTCTTTCACGATTCACGAAATTTTTTTATCGCTTTAGGTAGCCTGTTTGGTCTCTTTGTTAGATCTTTTAGGAAAGCTTGCTTACTTTTTTTGGTGCTTTACCTCTAACCTCAATTTCGGCTTCTGAGAACACTGAAAAGGCCAGTGCTGGCAAGAAAAGCTGAGCATATAGCCGGGCTCGGGCCAGGAAAAGTGTTTTCGAATGCCCAAGGCCGGGCTTGTGCCGGAGTGAGGCCAATGCATCCGAGTCAGGTCTGATAGCAGAATCTCGTAAGCTCTTCAGATGAAGGCTGTAGGCTGTTGCTATTGAGCCATGTAGTTGTCAAAAATTTTCCGCGCCAAATCTAGGCGCACCGATGCTCTTCGCCTCCCCCCTCCCGCCAGGAATGCGGTCGCCATGGTCGGAATCGAACCTACGCCCTCGCGCTTAAAAGTGCGACACCGTAGCTGCTATAAGCTGCCACAGATGAAGGGGGCGAAAAATTCCAGCACTCATTGATGTGGGAGAAAAATGAACATAAACATATTTGTGCGAGAAGTATATGCAACGGTATACATGTTGGTAGCTTTTTGTTGCGTTATTCTATTTGATTACCTGATATGTGGCGTTTACCGACCATATGATTATGAGAGACGCCGTAGTGGAGGGCTTCCGAAATTTAGAACACCTGGGGTTCTTCGACGTGCTCCCAAATCTGAGCACACGGGCCTACAACATTTCCGCCTCTATCGAAAATGCAGCCGCCGCAGCCGGGATTCGATCCCGCGACCTTTGGGTAAGCAGTCGAGTACCTTAGCCACTAGACCACCGCAGCGGGGTGCGTTATTATATGAGGTTTAACGTTCCGAAACGACTCACGCTATGTGAGACCCCGCATTGGAAGGGTCCGAGTATTGTTAGGAAGTAGAGGTGTCGCGAAATCCCCTGCCTGCGGCCCCCGCCACGGTGGTCTAGTGGCTAAAGTATTCGGCTTCTGACTCGCAGGTCACGAGATCGAATCCCGGCTGCGGCAGCTGCATTTTATATGGAGGCAAAAACATTGTTCGAAGGTGTGCTCAGATTTGGGTCGGCCCGTGTGAGCACGACGAATTCTTTGTTGTTGCGAGACGTGAAGGCCTTCAGTAACTTCGCTGATGGTCTTATGAAGACCCAGCGCGATCAAATTTTTAGTGGATGTACTCGTTGACAGATAGAGAGCAGTCTTGAATGCCATTCACAGGATGATGCCAGCCCGTTTTTTCTCAGATCTTGTAAGATTATCAAAATAAAAAGGTAGGCTGTATGTTGTTCTGCTCACTACCAGGCTTCGAACAAGTCGGAGGGTGTGTCTTTCTTTCATGCCTCTGTTCTTGAATATTACCCGAGATATATCATGCTCGATATAGCCTTTACGCTGCTTTGGAGGAGCGTGGCTCGTTGGTTACTTTGGAGCGACATGCCCAGGGTGCTGATCAATGGTGTTTTTTTTTTTTTTTGGGGGGGGGGGGGCATGAAGTTTTCACTGAGGTAGATCAAGTTTTCTTGATGAGTCTGCGGGGACTGCATGGTTACATCGGCTTCACCATACATGTAAGAATTCCGATTTCGGTGCGGAGCCATGTAGACCCCGTCGGTTACATATTCTTCGATGATGTTGGTTGCAGTTTGCAGTTGCTGTTCCTTTTGAGCAAGTTCTCCTTTAGTGGTCCAGATTATGATACCGTCTGCACTGAAGGCGTGGCAGAGGCCTTCTACATCTTGCAGTTTTCTTGTAAGGCCAAGCATGGCGACGTTGTGGATCGCGGGTTATATTACTGCTCCTTGAGGCGTGCCCTTGTTGGGAGGTTCGTATGCTGGAATCTGGAGCTCTCCGATCTTCAGCTCCACCTAGCGGTGACTTAAAAAGCTCTGAATGACCTTTTGCCGCAGTTGGGTAAGGTGAGCCCTTCCAGTATTCTTTGGTGCCTGATGTTGTCGAAAGCCCCTTTAATGCCGATGGGCAAGAGAATATGGTCACTGTTGCGTCGAACGTTGCAGGGAATCTTTTCCTTAACTTGTAGTAGTACGTCCTGTGAGGACAGGCCTATACTGCACCCCTCCCGCATACTGTATCCCTTCTGCTCAAACAGTGATCCTTCCACCACGATGGGGGACAGCCATTGGAACGACTCAGGCGTACGCGATATTTTCCCACGCTCTTGCCTCTACACTGCAATGAAAAAAATTGGACCAGGCGAAGACATCGGCCTATGAATTTCCTGTGAATTATTATTATTTTTTGCTGTTACGCGTTTCGCGCTTGGTGTATAGACCTCAGCGGGGCATCTCAACTGTGAACTTCGCCAAGCATGCGTTTTTGGGTCTGCTGCCTGAACTTTCTTTTGGCTTTTCGAGAGATGCCGTCATCGTACTTAGCCCTTTAGTGTGCTTGATGCCGCTCGTCTCTTTTGCCTTCGCGTCACGCTTTCGCTGAACCCTTTTTCTCTCTGAATAGCCCGGAACACGAGGCCGATGATGTCGCCGGACCATCTGGTCACACTAGGCCAACGACAACAACGCCTCGAAAGACAGCGTGTCGTCATAGAGTAACGTGATGGCTGACTGAAAACACAAGCAAAACACATCGGCAGTCTTGTTGAAAAGTCGTCGGGAGATCGGTGGCCGAACGAAGATTCCACAGCATCCCCTTCCTCGATGCCGTGAGAGACGGCGGGTGCTGTGCCACGTATCCCGAGACGGACAATAGCATAGCAGGGACCACGACTGAAAATGAGGAACAGGTGATGCCCTGATTCAAGTTTTTCGTCTAAATGTT